ACCCCACTCTTACCTCCACATCTCCCATCCCACTCTTACCTCCACATCTCCCCACCCCACTCTTACCTCCACATCTCCCCACCCCACTCTTACCTCCACATCTCCCCACCCCATCCTCACATCTCCCCACCCCGCCCTCTCATCTCCCCATCCCACTCTCACATCTCCCCACCCCACTCTTACCTCCACAATTCCCACCCAACTCTTACCTCCACATCTCCCCACCCCACTCTTACCTCCACATCTCCCCATCCCACTCTTACCTCCACATCTCCCCACCCCACTCTTACCTCCACATCTCCCACCCCACTCTTACCCCCACATCTCCCACCCCACTCTTACCCCCACATCTCCCACCCCACTCTTACTTCCACATCTCCCCACCCCACTCTTACCTCCACATCTCCCCACCCCACTCTTACCTCCACATCTCCCCACCCCACTCTTACCTCCACATCTCCCCACCCCACTCTTACCTCCACATCTCCCCACCCCACTCTTACCTCCACATCTCCCCAATCCCACTCCTACCTCCACATCTCCCCACCCCACTCTTACCTCCACATCTCCCCACCCCACTCTTACCTCCACATCTCCCCACCCCACTCTTACTTCCACGTCTCCCCACCCCACTCTTACCTCCACATCTCCCCACCCCACTCTTACCTCCACATCTACCCTCCCCACTCTTACCTCCACATCTCCCCACCCCACTCTTACCTCCACATCTCCCCACCCCACTCTTACTTCCACGTCTCCCCACCCCACTCTTACCTCCACATCTCCCCACCCCACTCTTACCTCCACATCTCCCCACCCCACTCTTACCTCCACATCTCCCCACCCCACTCTTACCTCCACATCTCCCCACCCCACTTTTACCTCCACATATCAACACCCCACTCTTAACTACACATCACCCCATCCCACTCTTACCTCCACATCACCCCACCCCACTCTTACCTCCACATCACCCCACCCCACTCTTACCTCCACATCTCCCCACCCCACTCTTACCTCCACATCTCCCCATCCCACTCTTACCTCCACATCTCCCCACCCCACTCCTACCTCCACATCTCCCCACCCCACTCTTACCTCCACATATCAACACCCCACTCTTAACTACACATCACCCCATCCCACTCTTACCTCCACATCACCCCATCCCACTCTTACCTCCACATCACCCCACCCCACTCTTACCTCCACATCTCCCCACCCCACTCTTACCTCCACATCTCCCCTCCCCACTCTTACCTCCACATCTCCCCACCCCACTCTTACCTCCACATCTCCCCACCCCACTCTTACCTCCACATCTCCCCATCCCACTCTTACCTCCACATCTCCCCACCCCACTCCTACCTCCACATCTCCCCACCCCACTCTTACCTCCACATATCAACACCCCACTCTTAACTACACATCACCCCATCCCACTCTTACCTCCACATCACCCCATCCCACTCTTACCTCCACATCACCCCATCCCACTCTTACCTCCACATCTCCCCATCCCACTCTTACCTCCACATCACCCCATCCCACTCTTACCTCCACATCTCCCCATCCCACTCTTACCTCCACATCTCCCACCCCACTCTTACCTCCACATCGTCCTATCTGAAACCTCCCCACACACCATCCATCTCTTCCGTCCCTACCCAGATCTCTGAAACCACTCTTACCCCCATATATCTTCCTTTCCTACACCCCACCCCACCCCACCCGAATATCCCCACCCCACTCTTACCTCCCTCCACTTCCTAACAGCTCCCTACACCACACCTCCTGACTCCACATCACTCTGACCACCTTCTTTTCCCACAACTCACCCCACCAACACCACCAAATCACCCGTTCTCACAGCATCAAACTCATGGACCAATCAAGCGTGTCCCACCCTTGATCATGTGTGCCGACTCTCCTAGCAATTAGTGATGCTGACGTGGGACAGTCACATCTATTTCCAGCCGTTCTGTTGTTGAAGATAATAATTGAATAATTACTAAGATGGGACATTCCTAAGAACGAAGTCAGTCTGACAAATGGGTGGGTAACTATGTCTCTCATTACACGAGGGTGTGATTGCAGAAGATACTTGAATGTTTATGGAGTCTACTACGACAAGTACATGTCTATCTACTACTACTACTACTACTACTACTACTACAACTACTACTACTACTACTGCTACTACCACTACTGCTTCTGCTACTACTATTACTACTGCTTCTACTACCACTATCACTACTACTACAACTGTTACTGACCCGTGAAGATCCGGGGTAGAATAGGTCTTCACCAACCCATGAATGCATTAAAAGACGACTATGCTTGTCGTAAGTGGCGACTATTGGGATCGGCTGGTCAGGCTTCCAATTGTGTGGATCGATGCTCATGATATCAATCACTGGATTGTCTGGTCCAGACTCGATTATTTACAGTCATATTACTGGAATATTACTGAGTGAGGCGTTAAACAACAAACAAACAACAACAAAAAACTATTGTTACTGTTATTTGGTCGTTATTCTCTTTCAAGTACACCCCATGATAATGTTTGTCTTGTAATGGACATGACGTCATATTCGATAACCGTTAATTGACCGTAACGACGTAAAATTACATATAATTCTGAATTCAGACAAATATGCCATAATTCCTTCTCAGCACAGGACACAGTGTTATAGTCTCAAGCGCCGTGATTCGCTTTGCAGAGTTGCGTCCCTTGGGCACGCCAGAAACCTATGACTGTTGGTTCGAATCCTCGTTCGCCCTGATTATGTTTCTAGGTTTGTCAGCACCATACCCATGCTCGTGGGTTTCACCGGAGTGGTAAACGTCTGAGACCTGCGTCACTTCGGGCTTTCCTCCCACATAAAGCTGACATGCCGTGATATAACTGGAATACTGTTAAAAGCGGCGTTAAACCCATCAAACTCACTCACTCATATTGGGATTAAGCAGCGATTGGAATGAGAGCTCGATGATTACCTTTACTACCTTGAACAGTATCGACCCTATGAGGCGGCACGCTGAATCTATCAAGATAACAAACATTGATATCTATATCAACGAAGTCAGTGCGAGAATGTTTGGGTTTTGCCGATTTTTAAAAAAAATGCCAGACATAACATCGAGACATGACGAAGGGGATTTATACTTTTGCCCATGCGGGGAACCTACTCGCCAGGAATCGACATCCACCGCAGACTCTGTTGTCACGGTGCAGCGAATGCGTGTTGCTATACGGTTGACTGGGTAACTGTCTCACGTGGAGCCTTGTCTTTCGCAAACACTGACATTTGAGTCGTGAGGTCGGCGAATTACAAGGTCATGCTGACGTGTGGGTTTTCAAGGATATATATATATATATATATATATATATATATATATATCGCTTGAGACGAGTGGGCCACCCGTGCCCCCACTCCCAATTTGAGACTTACATCATCGTGAAAATGTGCACATCAGTTCTAACTGGTCGTTATGACACTGTGTCCTGTGCTGAGAAGGAATTATGACATTTTTATCTGAATTCAGAATTATATGAATAAGAGGGAAAGTAATTTTACGTCGTTACGGTCAATTAACGGTTATCGAATATGACGTCATGTCCATTACAAAACAAACATATTTTTTTTATGGGGTGTACTTGAAAGAGAATAACGACCAAATAACAGTAACATTAGTTGTGTTTGTTTGTTGTTTAACGCCTCACTCAGTAATATTCCAGATATATGACGGTAAATAATCAAGTCTGGACCACACAATCCAGTGATTGATATCATGAGCATCGATCCACGCAATTAGGAGCCTGACCACCCGATCCCGTTTGTCGCCTCTTACGAAAAGCACAGTCGCCTTTTAATGCATGCATGGGTTTGCGCGAATTACAAGGTCATGCTGACGCATGGGTTTTCCAGGATATATATATAGCCTACGCGTGGCGGGGAAGTTTAGATCTTTGTCCAACTGACATTTATATACCGAACTTTCAGGCCCTCCCATCTTTTTAAATAAAAAGAAGCATTATCGGAATTAATGTGAGCAATATTGTGTGTATAGCTACCAAGTGCGAAGGAATAGTTTCAAATGTGATATAAATGCAGTAGCTGTCGTCGTAGCAGCGGTTCGCATTAGAATCACCACGCAGCTGCTGAGTTTGCTTGGTCCAGATTAATAATTAACAAAGCTGGAATGTTGCGGCATAAAACAACACACTCAGCTAGGCGATATATTGTTGTCTCGGGGTAACACTCTGACGTCTGACCCGCGAAGATCCGGGTTAGAATAGATAGGTCTTCAGCAACCCATGCTTGCTGTGAAAGGCGACTATGTAAGAGGCGACTAACAGGATCAGGTGGTCAGGCTCGCTGACTTGGCTGATGCATGTCATCGTATCCAAAATACGTGGATCGATGCTCATGATGTCAGTCACTGGGTTGTCTGGTCCAGACTCGATTATTTACAGACCGCCGCCATATAGCTGAGATATTGCTGAATGCGGCGTTAAACAACAAACAAAAAACTAAGACCTCCCTCAATACACAGGACAAAAGATATTTGTGTTGCAAGAAACACGATACTGGCATTGAATCAAACGTTTCATGGGAATATCTGAAACGTTTGTTCAGTGGGTCGATGTTCGTGGAGTGAAGTCTTTGTTCAACTGACATTTTTTTTTATACCGAACCCTGCTTGGTTCAGATTATGGACAAGCCGCGGTGACAAAGCTGGATTATTGCGGCGTAAAACAACCCTCACTCAGTTAGCCGATAGATTATTTTTGCCAGAGTACCAGAAAGACTTCCACACACTGGTGTTAGAATAGGTCTACAGCAACCCATGCTTGCCGTAAAAGGCGGCCATGCTTGTCGTAAGAGGCGACTAATGGGATGGGTGGTCATGCTCGCCGACTTGGTTGGTGCATGTCATCGATCCCAATTGCATGATTACATAATTCGTTATTATGATTGATACAATAACGACACTTTCTGTAAAATGGTTTTACTGAAGACGAACAACACATTACAAACATCAATCACAAATATTAAGTACAACCCCTGGCCGAGTCACACATTCAGGGGACACAACTCTTGACGCCCAAGCCTGGCGTGCTGTTCAATTAACTGTTTACACTGTCGGTTTGCTCATTTATCTATGCGCTTACTGTTATCAGTAGACAGGACAGCGCACGACCTGTCACAGTAGACGTGGCAAACGAAAGAATCCGAATGAAACAACGAGCAAAGGTGTCTCTCGTTAACTTTACAACGCTGGTAAATAACATATCTTGACGTCACTGAAGACAGTTGCCCAGTCGCAACTACAAGGCGCAGACACCCACTTCACGATAAGAAACTGTCATTCTGACATAGCCAGTACTTTCAATGTAACAAACTTTGTTAAATGCAAGCAAGGAATCTGTAAGTTCCAGTATTTCAAATATGTTCCCTAAAAAGTTATCTCTCAAATTTGTATATATTTGTACAACGTCAGTTTATTATGTACATGTATTAATATATTATTATCTTTACGACAGCATTCAGCTTTATACAGCATATCACCAGTCCGCATGACCAACGCACACAGCGACACCTGGTTCACATTTTTTTGTCGCGCTGTCTTTTTTATCTTCCGGGTCGAATCCGATGATTTTTATGATCCTTGGTTTGTCAGTACCATGATCATGGGTTTCACGTTATACGTCAACTTCCAGACGCAGTGAGGGGCGGTCGGGTAGCCTAGTGGTTAAAGCGTTCGCTCCTCACGCCGAAGACCTGGGTTCGATTCCCGACATGGGAACAATGTGTGAAGCCCATTTCTGGTGTCCCCCGCCGTGATATTGCTAAAAGCGGCGTAAAACCATGCTCACTCACTCACTCACTCCAGACGCAGTGACATCGATGTAATAGCGTTCAGAGCGGCGTTAACCCACTTATAGTCTCTTCCCGAGTTGAAAGATTCGTGTCCATAGCAACACCACGCCCACACTCTAGCCGATCTTTTCGATATCAAGCGTGTTAGCTACCTCCATGTTATACAGGTATTGATACGTTTGCATCTCCACGCCGATCTCGTCTCCATCACGCAGCTTTACGACCCCTACAACGACGTCGCTCGACTCATACATCCGGTTCTCCAAAACCATTTTCACCAGTTTGATCACAGACGTCCCCCCGGACGAGGCTTTGTAGATATAGTGATCCATTATATATTTCGGATTGATCAATGTATTTTTAAAAGTGTCGAAACTGAAGTGACTGCTTATCCGGTAAATGCCTCCTTTCTTGACCCGGATGGTGGAATTCCTAACCGTCAGACCCCCCTGAAGGAACGCTATCCCATCTGCAGACTCCGTCATCCATTTTATGGAACCCGCTGGAAAAAATAAATATGATTATTATACTATTTTAGGAATTCTGTTGAATGTATTTTGTTAAGATTCCAACAATATCACACCAAAAATTGTTGCGGGAGTCGAACCCGGGCCTTTGGCGTGACGAGCGAACGCTTTAACCATTATCTTTTCAATAGGGAATGTGTCGCTGCGCCACAGGGGCGGTCGGGTAGCCTAGTGGTTAAAGCGTTCGCTCGTCAAGCCGAAGACCCGGGTTCGATTCCCGACATGGGTACAATGTGTGAAGCCCATTACTGGTGTTCCCCGCCATGATATTGCTGGAATATTGCTAAAAGCGGCGTAAAACCTCACTCACTCACTCACTCACTCGTTGCGCCACAGCGACCTTGGGGGATTATGAAAAATATCCCCGTGTCCCCTCCCCTGGATTTTTAGAAAAGTGTGGATTAAGTGGTCACAATGGCGACGGGTGTTGATACCACCCGGTTGGATGACCTCAGGTCACAGATCATCTGTGACCTACCTGATTTTGTGTATTTCCGTACCCCAGGAGGTGGTCACAGCTCACACTGGCAACCAATAGTTTGACAGAGTCTCGCTCGACATCTGTCGTTTGATAATGCTACAGTTGAGCCGACTCTGGTTTGAAACACCAGTTTCATGCCACAAATACTCGTTGCTATACGCTGGGTAACTGTCTCACTAGGAAGAACCTGATCTTTTGTGACACTGTCTCTTGAGCCGAGCGGTCGTGCCGTGTGGGTTTTCCAGTAAGGCTCTAAAAATAGTCTACACGTGGCGGAGAAGTTGAGAATTTGTACCAAAGACATTAGACTTGCACTGGTCTCTGAGGCAATAATTATTAGTTAAAGTCATAATTTCTGGATTATGTAAATAATAGGAACAAGCTGTCCCTACAAGAGACTGGGGATCTTAGACTTGCCTATTAAGAGGGTGGAATTAATACACATCAATGGACTTATCTTTCAGTGGAGCCTTGTAGCAAGGCTACAAAGACTATCCTCGAAATAGTCATACTTTGCCGCACCTTTTGAGATTGCGTAAATTTTGTGAGATGAGAGACAGAGCCCAGCTTGAGCCGAGCTGTGGTATCAACACGTGGTATATCGAGGACCGGAAACCCTCGATATACGGAAATGTCTTGTATACTGTTTATGTGGTCTCGATGCATCATCTCATATAGTCCATACTAACGTACATAGCATATAGTCGTCTGAGGCAGTGAGACCACGTCATTCAAGTTGTTTAAATTACTACCTAGATTTCTATCCCATAATATGTCCTCTTAAAATTCGGCGAAATTTGTCAACATTCGCCATGCAGACGCTAGGGGGTGGTATAAATCCTGCTGGGGTCAATGCAGGAAGCATAGGTACCGTAAGTCCCCACTGTTTGTTTGTTTGTTGTTTTACGTCTCACTCAGCAAAATTCCATCTTTATGACGGCGGATTGTAAATAATCGAGTCTGGACTAGACAATCCAGTGATTGATATCATGAGCATCGATCCACGCAATTGGGATCGATGACATGCATCAACCAAGTCAGCGAGCCTGACCACCCGATCCCGTTAGTCGCATCTTACGACAAGCATAGACGCCTTTTACGGCAAGCATGGGTTGCTGAAGACCTATTCTACCGCGGATCTTCACGGGTCGTAAGCCCCCACAGTGCGTGCTGTGTATGGTAGTCTAACTTTAATCGGTGGCTGAGGATTTTTTAACGAGTTTTATACTGAACTATCAAATAATAGTTTTAACTTGTTAATGCTCCGAGGTTGTTAACTTGTCCGAGTTTTCATTGTGTATAATTGTTTGAACAACTACCTGTTTGTGTTTCTTTCACGTCAACCAACAGATGAGCTGCTGTTTTCAAGGAATGTTTTCTTCTTGGTCCCTTTTTACTGGGCTCCTCGACACTATCCATAGTGCACGGAGTTCTTGTATGAACGAGCGCCGCCGTTGATGGAAGCTGCGAACACAAAAACGTAATGAACATTTTGAAAATAACTGTGAATTCGTAAACTTGACAGCTAAATGAAAAAGAAGGTCTTGAAATGTGAATGGATTGTTGTAACCTTTATCATCTGTGCAAATATCGCGCGGTGGGAGAGCAATCTTTTTCTCTTCAAAAACTGTGCTATGAACATTATATGACATTACAATATCTCGTGTGAGTGGACTTTTGAACGAAATAAAGTTCGACTTGGTAAAAGACCAGAGGAGGGGGTGCCGTCGTACAAAGCGATCTTAGCGCTAAGGTGATCGTAACTCCCATACCTAGACATAGACTAACGACAGTTGTAGCGCTAAGGTTGTTTTGTACAACGGCACCCAGATATACGTGCTCGATTTGAATCAGTGAGAGGGTGAATGTTGTGTGACGCCGCAGAAGTTAAATAAATATGTCAAACCAGTGACTGATAGCTTGATCAACGACTGGGGCAGGAGTATACACGATCAGGCAGGTCACACTGTGAACACCCAATCCACATACAGTTGTTATAAGCATGGGATATGGTAGATTTATTCTACCCCAGAATCCTCGGTGTCGCTCCGTTTTTAAGTGAAGGAAGATTGACACCCAGATAGTTTAAGGTAATACCGTATTCCCTCGATTAAATGCCCCGCCGTATATTTCTTTCAGACACTCTTGTCGGTTTAATCGAGAAATAATTTTTCGTAATTAGTGCTGACTTCATTTTGAAAACAATGTACAAAACTGTATATTTTTGGTCTGTTTGTTTGTTTGTTTGTTTGTTATTTAACGCCGCACTCAGAAATAGTACGGCTATATGACGTCAGTCTGTAAATAATCGAGCCTGGACCAGAAAATCCAGTGATTGATGAGCATCGATCCACGCAATTTGGATCGATGACATGCATCAACCAAGTCAGCGAGCCTGACCACCCGATCCCGTTAGTCGCCTTTACAAAGCATAGTCGCCTTTTACAGCAAGCATGGGTTGCTGGAGATCTATTCTACACCGGATCTTCACGGGTAACAAAACTATATGTCCATACATCTATTCAATTCACAACAAGGAAGAAAGGATACGTCATTCTCCTAGTTGGGAAACCCCAAATAACTTCCTGAATCGTGCACTCGAAAAACAGAAACTGGACCCGCAGGTACGTATGTTTCCATATTGTGATAACCGCACTTCAGACTTGACACATTATTCAGCGCAGCTTTGCTGAAGTGTGACCTATCGACCATCCCACGCTGTGGAATGAAGCGGGGAATTCCCGCACGGAATTCCCGTATGTTTATTTATAGCCTCAAGTCGGAACGTCAGATATCCGGTAGTAACAGAGGTCAACTTTATATCTACGGGGTCAACAGATACAATGGCCGATCTGTGTGCTCCAATTTCCTTATTAGATAATATATTATACATAGTAAAGCCATCTGAATATTATCTGCTTCTGGGTGGACTCATAATAATAATAATAATAATAATAATAATAATACATGATACATAATGATATTTATATTTTATTAATGACCCATGTAAATAAACAACACTATATACGTAGGATCAAATAGGAACTCTTGAAACTGTTTTGTTTGTTTGTTGTTTCACACTTTGTGACAGCGATCAGTAAATAATGAAGTCGGGACAATCCAGTAATTGACATTATGAGAAACGTGATGTTTTTAATAAGATTTGTTTCTCCTTTGTGATTTTGTGTTGTGCTTGTTTGTTTGTTGTTGAACGCCGTACTCAGCAATATTCCAGCTATATGACTAAGGTCTGTAAATAATCGAATCTGGATCAGACATTCCAGTGATTGACATCATGAGCATCGATGTACTCAATAGGGATCATGCATCAACCAAGTCAGCGAGCCTGACCACACGATCCCGTTAGTCGCCTCTAACGATAAGCATGAGTTGCTTCGGTAATCTAGATCTACACGTCGTTCACCAGACTGTAGTTTTAAAAAAATGAATTAATTTTTAATATGGCCAAAAGTATACTTACAACTCGCTGCTTAAGAATGCGTTGAAGGTCGGCGTCCTCCTTGGATCCACAGCAGACGCCATTGTCTGTCCTGACGGCACCGGGCACCCCGGGGATGCCAGCTAGCCCACACGGGAAACAGAGGGAGTCGGAGACGGCAAGCCCGACTGCGGGGGGTGGTGGAACGCTACACGACGTCGTGTCTTGAAGCAAAAGGGTTATCACCGTTGCGAAAGCCGGAATAAGACAAACATTTAATAGTAATGAAACGACCACGATTATTTTGATGACGTTCGAAGTGTTTTTACTAATTTGCCTGATGAAACACGGGGTAGGATATTTTGGAGATTGTCTGGACTTGTCAGGACTTTGGCTTGATTGACGAGACACGTGTTTCTGTAATAACAACGGATCTCCTGAAGAAGAATTGTCTATAACACTGTTCAACCGTTTCGGAAGTACCACACACACATCCCGATCAGCAGGGTTGCTAGTTTGACGAGAATATTGTCTCTGAATCCCATGTTCAGTCTCTCTCGCTGTGGATGGAGATGAACCCTGCCTCACCGTGCTGTAAACGTCCTTCATCTGTCTGTGTGAGGCGTTGTTAATGTCCAAATTCACAGTGACACTTTGTCCGTGTTCTCGCTCAATGTTCAAATCGTTCTGTGTTTTGTAAATAACTTTATCTTTACATGAAGCCATCGCCCGCCACGAGAGCAAGTTTGGAACCGCACTGTTTCTGCATGTAGTAACTCTACTTCTCGGGCAGCCGCGCTGGGCCTTTTCTTTCAACATCTGGGTTTTCCCCGTGATATCATTATCACGTGACCACAATCGCTTGCCGCCTCTCCGGGCCGAATCGCAAAACCTGTTTTATCACGACTGTTGTTAAGTAGGTCATATCGCCAGCTACATCCCCCTGGGTATTTCATCAACGCATTACGGTTGCTGTTCAGTATTTCAGCTTATTTTACTACTTTATTTATGGAATAAATAACGCCGTATCGTTTGGAAAAATTCCACAGGTAAGTCCCTCAGTCGTGATCAACAACAAACATGATTGTATGACGTGGTACACATAGTCTATTTCTAACTGAAGAAGCCATACTCTTATTAGTCGTATATTCAGTGTATTCATTATTATCCATGAACAGCTAAAATAGCGTCGTATCATTTGGAAAAATTCCACAGCCAATACCCTCTGTCTTGATCACCCATTGACATGATTGATTGACGTGGTACAAGCTATAGTCTATTTCTAACTGAAGAAGACATACTCTTCTTTGTAGTTTTTTTGGGTTTTTTTTGTTCGTTTAACGCCGCACTCATCAATATTCTAGCTATATGACGGCGGTCTGTAAATAATAGAAACTGGACCAGACAATCCAGTGATTGACATCATAAGCATCGATCCACGCAAATGGGATACGATGACATGCATCAACTAAGTCAACGAGACTTGACCACCCGATCCCGTTAGTCGCCTCGTACGACAAGCATAGTCGCTTTTACGGCAAGCATGAGTTGCTGAAGACCTATTGTACCCCGGATCTTTATGGGTCTCTTTGTAGTACATTCAGTGTGTACTTAGCATGGGCGGATACAGAGGGGGGGGGGGGGGGGGGGGGACAAATTTGTTTCGAAACAAATCTTTATTTCCGTATAAATTACCACCAAAGACAATAAACAGATCTTAATTGTGCACCCCCCCTTTTAAAAAAAAGCTGTATCCGCCCATGCTTAGCATCGATCCACGCAACAACTCATGTACTTAGAGTAACCTCGAGTAGTCATCATGTGTAAACATATCACCTGACAGTGCACGAACTGTTATCAGTGGACCAACATGGGGGTTTCCGTATGTTTGTTTATTAGGTGTTGAACGCCGCACTCAGCAATATGACGATGATCTTTAAATAATCGAGTCTTTTGCGGCAAGCATGCGTGGCTTTTTCTAACAACGCCCCTCGTCTTACCTTTACCGACATGACTCTGCGCGGCACAGGTGTGGCTGAAATATCTAAGAATGAAATCAAAACGTATTAAAATAAATATTATCCCGAAAATATATCTCACGAATAAAACCGTGACATATAAATCACACTAATACTATCATGTATACATAATACCGCGATACAATTCTGAAGGAATAATTTAATTCCATGATTCCTGGAATAGAGTTATGAACATTTATTCATGACGAATGATATCAATCAGGATATATATATATATATATATATATATATATATATATATATATATATATATATATATATATATATATTGTCATGAGTACGTAAACAAACCTGATGGAGTAATTTGATTACTTGATAATTCCTGAATATGCTATTATGAACATTTATTCCTGAGGTATATTACCCGTGAAGATCCGGGGTAGAATAGGTCTTCAGCAACTCATGCTTGCTGCTTCAGGTGACTATGCTTGTCGTAAGCTGCAACTAACGGGATCGGGTGGTCAGGCTCGTTTACTTGGTTGATGCATGTCATCGTATCCTAATTGCGTTGATCGATGCTGATGATATCAATCACTGGATTGTCTGGTCCAGACTCGATTATTTACAGACCGCCGTCATATAGCTGGAATATTGCTGAGTGCGGCGTTAAACAACAACCAACCAACCAACCTGGTGCATATTATCATAAAAATATATAGTATAATAAATACGTATACAGCCCTGAAGAAGTAACGTGTGATCATGTGTATCATTATGAGAATCAGAATTAATATCATCACGAAGATGTATCTCGTTCTAACTACGACTCATCCCCGTCAGTACTATGCAGCCGGGAAAAAAGAGTATACACTTGACAATAGGATTTGACCAAGAAATTACAAGGGGGCACGGGTGGCCCAGTCGTCTAAGGCGCCGCGATTCGCTGTGCAGAGTAGCGTCCCTTGGGGCACGCCAGAAACCTATGATTGTGGGTTCGAATCCCCGTTCGCCCCGATTATGTTTCTAGGTTTGTCAGCACCATACCCGTGCTCGTGGGTTTCACCGAAGTGGTAAACGTCTGAGACCTGCATCACTTGGGGCTTTCCTCACGCATTAAGCTGACACGCCGTGATATAACTGGAATACTGTTAAAAGCGGCGTTAAACCCAACTCACACACACACGCACACACACACACGCACACACACACACACACACACACACACACACACACACACACACACACACACACACGCACACACACACACACACACACACACACACACACACACACAAGAAATTACAAACGTTATCATAACGTGGCTGCAGGATGAAAACAATCGCCGAAAAAATGCAAACTCAAGGTCCAAAACACAACTATTATACCCGCATCAAATACATCACCATCGAACTATTTTTTTGTTTGTTTCACTTTTAGCCACATGGTTGTTGACGTTTTGTTCGGCAGTTTATCAAAAAAATCTTGTTCTGTTTATTATCTTTTATTATTAACTGACTTTTTAAGCAAAGAATGACTTGAACGCTATAAAATAAATACTATCAACGTCATTTGTAAAGTTGAAATTCGTTCTCATTGCGGCCAGTATCACCCAGGATTAGTTGGTTTTGTGCGAAGCAGGATGTAAATGTATTCAATCAAGCATGGTCGTCGTCATTTCACATCCGCGTGTTAACGTAGCGATCATGACGTCTGATCTAAATATAGACTGATCTTTCACTTATATTCACTCGTGGATAATTTCGCGGGGATTCCAGGCTAGAATTGGTCCCCAGCAACCTATGAGGCTGCCACCCCCCCTAGTCTGTCTCTCTTGAGAAAAAAAATCAAAATATCTAGAAGTCCAGTTTGCCTGAGGCAATGAAATTTAAGGATTGTTCTGGGCTCCATTTGGATTTCTATGTTTTTTATTTTGTAAAAATATATTTCTGCGACTAAATGTCAGTCTACCCACCCCATTATTAGGCGGGATTCGGGGGTCTAGTTAGAGGGTACTTAGGACTCATGAGTGTGGTACGCGAGACGCACATCTTCTGTATGGCGGTGGAGGGGGGGGGGGGGGGGGGGGGGTGGGGGGGGGGGGGGCACCCTCACCTATGCTATGTGGGGTCGCATCTAGGATTATACAATATGGGAGTTCTACTTGGGCCATTTATCTATATTTTACTTTAACAACCAAATCAATATGTCATCATGGAAGGAGCTGCGCTTACAAAAATGTCATCAGATGTAAAAGAAGGGGTTATACCTATAAGGACGCCTTGTGTATATACATACTTCTAGCCTAAGAAATCAGTAAAATTGAGACCGATTATGCCGCTGATAATTAGAAAAGGCAACACAGCCTTATATAGTGAATTGTATATGTATGTTTCATGTCCTGCTGGCTACAGATGTGCACAAGCTCTAAGGCAATAATTATTAGTTAAATAATAATTTCTAGATTATATAAAACAATATAATATGTCCCTATAAGAGACTGGCGTCTTTAATTTTTACTGTCCGCGCATCTAGAATTGTCTATTATAACTGTAGAATTACAATGTGCTACACACCCATGGACTCCTCAATCAGTACCACCACCCCTCACCCCCCCCCCCCCCCCCCCCCCCCCCCCCCACACACACACACACACACACACGAACACACACCTACCCCACACCCCACACACCCACCCCAGGGGGTTTGTAAGACCATGTCACTCAAAGTATATTTATTTCTGTCACGTCACTCACTCACTCACTCACTCACTCACTCACTCACTTACTCACTCACTCACTGTGTTGGCTATTGCCAGTGATCCCCTTAACCACTGCATTGTATGACGCTGATTTGCGTTTGCCCTAGTTTCAGTTTCGAGTCTATATTACCGGGAGCGGAAATTACCGTTTATGTGAAATTACCATGGTTGTGAAAATCTAGCTTAGCTATAGCAACGCAGTTCTCTGTTTTCCGCCTTTTGGGACTTTCCCTTCAGAATATGTTACGGTTTTGCGAAATGTTCCTTATGGCTAAAAATAGCGATGGACCAGGTGATGAGGAAACGGTTAATATATGTGGAATATCATTGGATGGTTCTATGTGGAAGAATAACGGCAGTCCGGCGTGAAACCTGAAAATTCCACTTCTTTGACATAACAATGGAAAACGTTATTCCAAAATCCGAAATAATAATTTAAGACAACATGTGTGCATATTATGCGATATTTTATCGGTTCTGACACAAAAGGAACATGTTTTTCACATTTTTAAGTAAAAAAATGCCTCACACTAATTAAAATGGCATGATGTACAATACCTTTTGGCCTAAAGTGTTATATGAATGTTTGTTGTTTAACGCCTGCATTAGTAATATTGCAGCTGTATGACAGCCGTCTGTATAATGAAGAGGACAATAATCAAGTGATTGATATTATGAGCAACGATCGTCGCCGTCGGGTTGCGATGAGTGAGTGGGTGAGTTGGGTTCAATGCCGCTTTAACAGTATTCCAGTTATATCGCGGCGTGTCAGCTAATGTGGGAGGAAAGCCCGAAGTGATGCAGGTCTCAGACGTTTACCACTTCGGTAAAACCCACGAGCACTTGTATGGTGCTGACAAACCTAGAAACATAATCGGGGCGAATCGGGATTCGAACCCACAATTATAGGTTTCTGGCGTGTCCAAGGGACGCAACTCTGCACAGCGAATCGCGGCGCCTTAGACGACTGGGCCACCCGTGCCCCCGGGTTGCGATGACACGCATTCAATAAGGAGAGAGGAAAGAGAAATGGGGTAGAGAGCGAGTGAGGGATTTTGCAATTTTGTAAGTTTTAA